AGGAAACTCCAGCAAAGTAGATCTCTAGAAGAGATCCTTCTCTACTGGTAGTCAGCTCTTAAATGGGAGAGGTGCAGCCAGGCTCCACCCCTTCCTGCAGCACAGGTGAATTGACTTCATCTGTGCTCCTATGGCTGACTCATTGCTCGCCTCAGGTGATCAATCAGAGGTTCAGGCTGTGACTCAGCAGTTCCCATACAATGACTTAAACCAGAAACTTGTCAAATTTATTTGAAAGCTGGGTTTCTGGGAGCTGCAAAGTAAGAAACCAGTGTAGAGTAGAAGTCCGTAACTAGTTACAGATCTGGCATGGTTATTCTACGTGTGTGCCACTTCAGGTGGAAGCACTTCAGATGATGTGGGAAATTTAACAGTAGAACAAACCAGAAGAAGGCAGAAGAAAAAATGGAAAAAGAAAAAAAAAAAGGGCTCCCCAGATGCAAAGTGTAGCTAGAGTGGAGATACACCAGGGCAGAGGAGGTATGGGGGCTGTTGGTCCCCATTCTGTGGGCACACTTGTGTCATTTGTGCTTTGCATGTGGCACTTGTGCTTTCCATGTTTCCATGTGCTCAAACAGGGCCTTCCCCATCAATTTGTACACAAGCAGCATCGGCATAATGAGAAATACAAATCTCAGCGCACATAAATACAGGCTACTCAGGCAAAAGGGAAAATCATAAAACAAAGGCATCTACCACTACTGGTCCAATTCCCAAAGTGGAAAAGGTCTGGTCAGGAGAGATGGGAATACAATTCAAAAACCATGGTAAATCGTTAACCATGTTGCATGAATTATGCATAGCTGTTCAATTAAATTGTTCTAATATTGCACAGGTGACTTGTAAAGCAAGATTTTTTAAGCAAAGGTTATTATATGAACCTGAATAAATCCAGCAGGAGGAAACCTTGGAGGTGTCATTTCTTCCAGAAGGTTAACTGTCCATCTTCAGCTAAAAAAGGGATCCAGGAGCTGCATGAAGCTACCTGAGTTATACTGCTGTCAGAAGAAGCTAGAAAGGGATAATGCATTGTGGCTTCTGGATTTCTCTGAAATGAAAACCGGGGAAGAACAAACCAAAGAAAATGTCAGATAAGATTAAGACAAATAAGTTCATTTGGCTTATTTATGCTGTAATATATGAATGCTAGATAAATGTGTAAAGAAGGAAGAATAGCAACTGCCAGATGCTTTCAGAAGGAAGCAAAGAGCATATGTGGAGGAAAATTAACCATAAATGTTATCTCAAAAAAGAGGACCTCTTGGAATAAGCACGTCTATGGCAGTTATGTCTCAAATCTGTTGTATTTGTTTTGTGAAATGACAGAACATCTGCTCAGTCACAAGGCCCCAGTAAAATGCAGCTTTATGCCTAAAGCAGTGTGTCAGTCCTTAAGAAAAAATGTATATAAAAAGAGAAAAACAAAGGAGCATTATTTATTTCAGTTGTAGTCATTTCTGACCTAATAATGCTTTTGAAAGGATTTTTAGTTTTATTTTGAATAAAGAAATGAATGACAGGACTGAGTCATTTATGACTCTTTTCAAGATTAGGCTTTGTGCATTATTTGGGTGGAAGCTGGCAAAGTGCTTTGTTCCTGAAAATCATATTTATGTAATTGAAGTACATTTTAGAAGACTACTTCTTAGCTTGCAATTTCTAATTTCAGTTTATAATAAGCCACTTTTTGTCAGATAGATGTGCTGACATGAAAACTGGAAGGAAGTTAGATTTTACCTCAAAACTGTCTTTTCAGAAAAGAAAATGATTCCCACTGAAATTCTATAGAAAACTAATCAAAAAGTTCCTCATTAAACTATTAATATATGGGATTTGTCTCTGAATATTCCAGGCACACAGTTTTTAAGTGATTTTATTCAAAAAGCGCGTTCTCTTATATTTTCACTGCTGTATTCACTGACCTGAAAACCCTAAAACTGTGATGCAAATTTTAAAATCTGTCTTCTGACAAAATTAATATTACTCTACAGCTTACAGCAGTACTGGGACTGATGTACTTTAATATCTTTATCAATTATATTGACGGTGGGATTGAGTGCACCCTCAGCAAGTTTGCTGATGACAGCTAGCTGAGTGGTGCAGTTGACGGGATGCCATCCAAAGGGACCTAGACAGGCTGAGCTGTGTGCCCAGGCAAACCTCATGAGGTTCAACAATAGAGCACAGCCCTGCTGAAAAGGACCTGGATTGTACTTGTGGATGGCAGCTGGACAAGAGCCAGCAATGTGCCCTCACAGATCAGAAAACCAACCGTGTCCTGGGCTACACCAAGAGAGGAGCAGCCAGCAGGTCAGGGAGGTGATCCTGCCCCTCTGCTCTGTGCTGAGGCTCACCTGGAGCACTGCGTCCAGATGTGGAGTCCTCAGCACAGGAGAGACATGGAGCTTTCAGAGCACGTCCAGAGGAGGGCCACAAAATGATCCCAGGGATGGAACACCTCTACTGCAGGACAGGCTGAGAGCTGGGGCTGTGCAGATGGAGAAGAGAAGGCTGTGGGGAGAGCTGAGGGCAGCTGTCACTATCTAAAGGGGGGCTGTAAGAAAGAAGGGGACAGCAGACTCTTAACATGGTCTGTTGTGGAAAGGGAAAAGGTGAAATGGTCAGACTTTTAAAAGAGAGGAGATTTAGATTGGATTTAAGGTGGAAGATTTTTACAATAAGGGCAGTGAGGCACTGGCACAGGCTGCCCAGAGGTATGGTGGATGCCTCATCCCTGGAGATAATCAAAGTCAGACAGGATCAGGCTCTGAGCACCTGATAGAGCACTGGGTGTCCCTGTTCATTGCAGGGGAGTTGAACTAGTTGGCATTTCAGTGGTCACTTCCAACTCAAAAGATTTTATGATTCTGTGAGTTCACATCCTCTCAGAAGTCTCTGAATTCTGAAGGAACTCTTTAGGTGATCAGGAATATGTGTGCTATGTCATCAGGTATTAATAGGGGACCACTCTCATAGGACATCTTTCTTCTCCATGAAACCATGTCAGTAAAACGTTGGGTTTTTTTTTTACTTAAGTTAGGAGCCTTTGCTGGAGTAAATAAAATGCATGTGTATAATCTTTATCTGACTCAGAGCTGAAACAGATACTAAATCTTTTCCATAGAAAGACTGTAAAGTTTCTCAGAAACACTTTAGAGTCTTATGAACCTGATCCACAAGCTTGCAGTTTGGAAAAATTCTGATTCAAAATAGTTTTCAGTTGGGCTGTGGAAATTTTGCTGAGCTATTTCCATGAGCTTTTCAAATATGCTTTGTCTTTCAAATATGACAAAAACTTGAAGATTTAGATTTTAAGCTGTTAGGATTCCAGTATCTTCTGGAATCTTGAGCAGCAAATACCTTCTGCATTTCAGTGCTCAGCCTGAAATCCATTGCAGTTGTTCAATCAAAGCATCAATTCTCAGCCCCAAGGTAGGTCGCTCCCAGGCTGGAACTATTGAGCAGAGTTGCCAGAGATGGTTGGATTGCATTACGCATCAGCAGGCGGAGTGTAAGTCACCAAGTATATAGCTTAAGAGTAGCGCTTAAAAATGTAAGTGCCATCGTTGATTCTAGTCACTGCTTTCTGCCTTCCAGTTTGGGGAAGGGACTGCTGTGTGCTCTCTGGCCATCTGGGGAAGGCTGGAAGCTCTGGAGGCTGCTCTCTTCCCCTAGGAGAGTTGTTCACATGTTTCAGCAGGTCATGGCTGTCTCTGAAGAGGTCTTGAAGATGGATAGCAGTGTTAAAGTGTGTATTGAGGACATTCCCTGTCCACACTCATCTTCCAGACCTTGTAGAGCTGAAAAAAAATGTAAAGGACATTGTCTTTCTATTATGATTCTTCTAGAGCACCAGCACCCTGTTTGATCCTGACACAGCCTGTGCTGTTTCAATGCAGTCTCAGGACTTTGAAAGGGTGTCTCTGATTCTATGAGGAAAGGAAAAAGAGAAAGGATAGTATACACTTAGCTATCACACTGAATCAGTGCTCTCACCAACATCATGGGGCAGTTGTCAAGGGACAAATGTTCCTAACTCACACTGCTTCACCTCCGGGAATGTGTTGATTTATGTATAAGCCAGTATGTGTGTACTAAGTTGGGTTCTTGATTAATGATAGTCATAGATCCAAAAGCTGTTGATGGAAAAATTGTTGAAAAGATTTGGGAAGTGCTGTACAAGGGGGAAAGACTAAGTGGGTTGCACTTGAGCTGGTTCTGAGTTGTGATGTTGTGCTTCCACATCAGAGTTCTGTCTAACTTGACCTGCCTCTATAGGGGCAAGCCAAAGAAGAGCTGGGTCAACTTTGAATAGCAAAGGGGAGATGAAGGTTTCAGCTGTGTTCAATTTCTTTTTGTCGTGCAGGCCTTAAGAACACAAAAGTATGTAAAGTGCTACAGGTGCGCCATGTTGAAAAGCTGAGCTTTTCTTGGTCTTTTTCCAAAAGTGGTACACACTTAGTTCAAGTATTTACTTGTTTTAAGCAGGGGTCAGATTGAGCCATGAACGCTGAATGACATTTTTGAAAAGAAGATTGCCTTAACAGGCAATAAACATTTCTGCTCTGACTGGCAAACAATCATTAACAACCTTCATTAAATTTTACATCTGTTCCATTCACCACTTAGCCATTTCTTTTCATTCTGAAAGACTATAACTAAGAATGAATGACCCTTCTCTAATACAGTCAGGACTTGAGAAATCTGTGAAAGAACTGAGTTATCTTTCTTCCTCATAGGCAAATTTTTCCAATTGTTTAACAAAATGTTGTTTTGTGTAGTCATGACATCAGTCAAGAGACTGATGAATAGCAAGGCTCAGCATTAGTCAACTTGTTTTTTAAAAAAACAGGCATGCAGTAACAATTAGACAGTGTCTGATGCTCTTCCCCACTGAAATCCATACCCTGTCCTCTTGCTTACTGATCCTCCCACTGCAAAGTGGTTTACGTCTTCAGAGTAAGCAAACACATCATTTCAGTGAAAGGGTGAAAAAAATCCCCAGTTCTGCCATAAAGAAGTTGGTGTCTGTAGATCAGGGTCTCTGCCATGCTCTCCAAGCTCTCCAAGCACTTATCATCCCCAGAGTGGAGGATGGCAGCTCAAGGCATCTGAAGAACAAAGAGAGTACCCCAAAGAGCTTCCCACTGCAGAGAAATGGCTGCATTCACTGCCATCCATCCAGCCCACTTGTGTTAGTCTATGCTCCAGTTCCTCCAGCTCACAGCGCGCCTCCTTTTTAGTGTGAAATCTGCTTGAATCTTCAAAGGAACTACATTTTAAAATGCGTTTCCCTCAGTACCAGGGATAATCACAGTTCTCTGGGCTAAAACGGATCACAAAGTCTCAAATGTATCTACAGCACTTTACAGAGAAATGTGTGTGGTAGAGGCTATTGGGCAGCTCTGGCCAACTTCAAACAGTGTTACAAAGTCTTTCCATTTGGTTAAGATATACTGGTGTAACAGGAATAACATTTAATCATACCTTGTCATACCATATGGGCAGACCTAACACAAAGCTGATGTTGTGTTTCCAATCAAAAGTTTGATGGTAAGGGTTGAGGGTCATCTGTGGTGGATATATTTTGATGGTATAGTCTTTTACTCCAAGAATACAAAAATACAGTAGAGCTAGAATCAATCTATAACGTGAGAAGCAATTCTGGAGAGAATGTGAACATGCTTGTTGCTTTGTAAACCCAGCAATCCAGCTTGGTCACCAGAAGCAGGAGCTGTGTAAATATTCTTACCATTGTTGATTCTTTGCTTTTTCATTTTAGCTGGATGCTGAGAAAGCAAAATTAAAACTGGAAAGATGGTCTTCCCGAGATACTGGCAGTGGGGGAGGAAGAAGTGAAGAGTTGGAGACAAGTGGGGACTGTGATGATGAGGATGGCTGCCAAGGATCTGGTGACAGGATTCACACAGCAGGTAAATGCATTTTCTCTGGACACATACAAAGTTTAGAAATTCCTATGTGTCACAGTTAGGTGGACAGAGCTAAGGTTTGCACTGCTCAAGTTACTGTCAAATTTCTATCGAATTCAAAGGATTTCAATCTTATTACATGAACAACTGCAGTAGAACTAGAATGGTACAGATAGTAACACAGTACAATTTAACACTTGTCCTGCAAATAAGAGACTTAAATTTAGAGTGAAAAATGTCTGTAAGGAAGTCTGGATCATAGAAATATGGGAAACTCTTTCCTAGATACTGTGGGCACTTCAAATAAACAGAATATTAATGCCCATGTAGACTGTACTAAGTGTTAATATAGGTATTGATTGATTGCATAATCATACTGAAGGATGATCCAAAGAGAATTTTGCTGAAAGTATATATTCTCGAAAAAATACCTGAAGTACTGTTTTTAGTGGTATTGAGTAGTTGGATAAAGATTATCCTGGTATAAAATATCTCGATAGCCTCAGATATGCATTCTGCAATATTTATGCTTGTAATTACTTGAGTGATACTTCATCAAGCTTGGAATCAGTGTCAGAATCTAACTTCCAGCAAAATATTGACAATTTAATAGGTAATTTCGTACTGTAATAAACCATCAAGAGGTGCAGTGTTTTCTACTAAGCAGTTGAAATAACTGATATGTCGTATCTGGAAGTTCTGATTCACATCAGGTCATCAAAGTGTAATTGTATTAATTATTGATAATTTATGTAAATATATTTTCACCTCTGCCAGTTCCCTCAGCACTCTCGGGTGAACCCCATCGGTGGTCAGGCAGTGGAATGGGCTGCCCAGGGAGGTGGTGGCGTCACTGACCCTGGAGGAATGTTTGGATTTTGTGTTGAGGGACACAGTTTAGTGAGCAATAGTGGTGATAGGTGGATGGTTGGACTGGATGATCTGGACGGTCTTTTCCAACCTTGGTGATTCTGTGATTCATTTGAGTGAACAAATATGTGAAATACAAGCATAATAGTGTTCAAACATAGTGCTCATTAAGGTGAGATAAAACGCAGGTAAGCTTTAAACTGCTATTTCATTCAGCAGAGATAAACATACGCCTCTTGTTTATCTTCTTACCACTAGTAGAGTGAAAGAAAGTATACCATACTCAGGTAGGACTTGCAAACTACATTTGATGTAGGCTGCGTTCAGGACTTTGGTTGTTCCTGGTATGAGTATTTGTTCAGGAAAACTGAGCTTAAGAATGTATTTTGAAATATGTGCAAAATGTCAATTTTATCTTACAGTACTAGGTTATAAATATCTACAATACGGTATTTGTTGTTGAGCTTTATAATCAAGGTGAATGAGGTACTATTACATAGATATGATTCTTAACATTTTAAAGTAGCTGTGAGTAACAGATCAGGTTGAGATTCTCAGTGTCTATTCACCCATATTTTTGAACAGAAGAACTTTGATGCAATGTTATTTTAAAACTATTTGCTTAGCTTTTTTTTCTTCCAATTTTTGTTGTGTTTTATATATGAGCAATTAAAAGATTGCTAAGTTTTTCAGCCCCTAGAGATCTGTGAGTGTAAATACTATAAATAATGTGCTTTCCTCTCTATGTGGTATGATACAAACAATAGCCAGGTGCTAAGTACTCTTTAATGAACTATTAAACTATAAATACACTGTTTGGGGAGGATGTGTATGCATGTTTACGCACAGTGGTAGATTTCAGATGTTCAAAAATAAAAACTTGAAAGCTTTCAAGACTAGGCTTGCTGCTGGTTTTAATAACGGTAAATAAAGGAAATGCGTAATGTCTCTTCTTTCCTTTTTGCTTGCAATCTCTTTAAATAAAACATTCTATGTTGATATCATCCTGGGTTTAAAAGAATTCTATTTATACAAATAGCTGTTTCATAGTTTAGTAGGGTTTATATCCAATTAAAAAAGAAATCACAATTAATTGTAGAAAATAGTATAGATTCATAACAGTAAAATATTTCATTGTGCAGCAATAGTACTTCTGTTTCCTAATTAGCTTTAAAATGCTATACTGTGTACAAGCCACTAGCAGTAAATACGTTTGGCATATCTGGATACAATTAAGAGATAAAATGGAGTAATCTCATTATAGAACTTCTTTGCTTTAATAGAATGTTAAAGAAATAAACACTGGATTAGATTAGTTGCATTTCCTCTTGCTGCATGTCTGTCAGATGATGTTTCTCATTGTATATCCTGTGAATTTGTTATGTTTCCTAAACTTAAAAGCTGTCAGTTCCATCTGACTGTTGTTTTGTAGAAGCGGAACATGCCAACATTGATTATTCTGTGTTCACTTTAAATATACAGTAAATTGAGACGTGAATTGAGACTAAAGCTAAATCCCAAATAAAACCCTGATTTGAAGCTCAGAAAAGTCAGTGGGAATATTCTTACTGACTGCAGCAGTCTTGGAGCTGTGCAGTGCCACCGATCTCATCAGTGAACACTGTAACTTACAGTCACATTCTGGAACAAAAGGAATAAGAAAGGAATAAAAATCCTTTCCAAACATAGGCGTTTTGCCAGAGCAATGATGCTTTTAACAAGTTCGTGGAAAACAGAAAAGAAGGAAAACAATTATCAAGTTCTGAAATACTGCACTCAGAATCCAGTGCAAATTTGCTACATCTGTAATTTCTTTGAAACCTATACGAAAATGAGACTTACAATTTATGTGTTGAGTTCCACTTTAAGCATAGCAAAAGATTCAGAATCATTTAAAATAGTTTCTGAAAACATACTGAACACTTCCTTCCCGTCTTCCTGAGACAAAAAATCCCTTTTCTTTGACAAGAAGTTGGCAGTTTTGCCAACAGCAAGGCTTCCATCACCAAAACATCTCTTCAGAGCTATTGAAAGATCCCTCTGGACAGAGAATATTGCCATCTCTCCAGTTTGCTTTTTCCAGCTACTAACAGGGAGTCTGTCTTCTAGGTTTGGAACTTCAGTGTGCACCAGGTGGAGTGGCTTTGTGCCAGCCAGGTGCTTTGTATGATCCCTGTCCCTATTTGGTGTGTGTTGTATGCTGTGTGCACTGAACTCTCTGTTCAGCTCACCTTATGGATATTAAAGTCTATGTTTCAGTTCCTAGTTTAATATCTACACTTGGGTAGATATTATTTAGTGCTTTTCTTTGCTTTTTTTACCAATAAAACTTTCTTAGCAAAATCATAATTACCTAAAAAAAAATCACTATTTGTAGTCATAGTGGGCTGCATTATCTATCCTGTATCATATGTGCTTATCCAATTGGTTTCATACAGACAAGATAGACACCCTCTCCAGATGCCAGCAGCCTCTCAACACGTTAGGTAGGGTAGGAGGTACTTAAGCATGTCGAGCTCCATCAGGCCTTACCAGTTATCAGAACTGTCCCTTCTTGGGGAAAGCTGGGGAAACATTAGATTTCAAGCAGATCCATGTGCTTGTTGGAAAGTGGCAACTTTTTAATGATAGCATCTGTTAATCATCTTTGAACAAAGCTTTGTTAGAAGAGATTTAAGAGGAACAAATCCTGAACATAGATGGGGAAGTAGCTGTGCAGTTTGGACCACTTTAGTCATGCAGGTTTCTGGGTAGAAGTGCAAAGCAGAGGCTTGGTCTGAACGTTGCTGGACAGTGTGATCGTGTAAGTATGGTCTGATGTGAATTTCATTCACAAAAGGACTCACAGAATGATGTGAGGGCCTATTCTTAAATAGGACTGTGCAGGATACTCAGCAGTGTACAAGGCTCAGCACAATGCAGGATATAGCTGCTGCACTGTTCACTAGGGGAGGGATTAGCATCCTGCAGATCATGAAAAAGTGCAGCAGCAACAGATTCACGTTGTACCCTACTTCTCCTCTCTTTAGTGAAAAGGAAAATAAATGCTTCAGTCTGATCAGTGAGAAGTGGGAAGGAAGTCCCTGCAGGGGATTTCCCACTCCCAGCTGTGCTGCACAGCTGTATGTTGTTAAGAAGCCTGATCCAAACAGTGACTGCCAACAATAGATCTCTCTTCAGAGAAGTCATCATGTGGTTTTCCATTAAATAAGGTTTAGAAGGTCCACCAAGGTTGGACCACAGGCAGGGACCTGGTTTAGAGGGAACCCCAATACCTCCATGCTGTAAAACAAAAATTACGACAAAAATTAATCCAAACTTCTGTCTAGATAAGCCTGAAATAACATGATGGAAAGTCAGAAGGCATTTAGCAAGTGTGAGATCGCAACTGTCTTCACACTGGCAAGGCATCCAAACAGCACAGGTTAAGAAGAATATCTCTTTTAGCCTATCTTTGGGCCCGTTCCCAATGGAGCAGAGTAGGCAAAGCTAAATGTCTGAGATACAGGAACTGCCATCTTAGCCTTAAATTTGCCCATCAGTGGGTATCATCTATCTATGATAGATCTATGCTTATGTAATCCCAATAAAAAATTTATTCTGTACTTCTAATTCCCTCTTAAAGCTCCCTTGAGTACATATTCTTTGATTTTAAATATCTCTCAATAGAATATACTGCTTATTCTCAATTTCATTATTCAATCTACAGCAAGTTTAGTTCACCAGCACGTTCAATCTGAAAACATGGCTCCAACCCCTGGCCTTATTCATGGTTGTTGAGGCAATACACGGTGTTACTGCATCTTTCTGCTTTAGGCAGATGTGTGGGAAGTGTTGAGTTCCAGCCTGAAACACTGATGGACCACCTGGAGAAAAGAACTGGTCAGCCCTGGGAGCACAGGTGAAGGCAATTTACCTGTGTGACAGGAAGGGGTGGAGCCTGGCTGCACCTCTGTCAGACCTCATTTGAGGGCTGACTGGCGCTAGGGCAGGATCTCTTTCTGGAGATCTTTCCTTAGTGAAGCATTCTCCTGTGAACCTGGAATCTTCTGACATCGGTAAGTAATCTTCCCTTCTTTTATAGCATATTTCTATCGTGCTACTCCTTCAATCTATTGCACCTTTGTTGTAGT